GCTAGATACAGGCCTCCAACTAGACTCTGTGCCACTGACCACAACCCTCTGAGCCTTGCCATTAAGCCAGCTCTTAATCCACCTCTCCATCCACTCATCTAGCCTGCTCTTCCGGAGCTTGCCTACGAGGATGTGATGGGAGAGAGCATCAAAAGCCTTGCTGAAGTCACAAGTAGACAACTCCACCGCTCTCCCCTCATCTACCCAGCCAGTCATCCCATCATAGAAGGCTATCAGCTTGGTCAAGCTCGATCTCCCCTTAGCGAATCCATGCTGACTACTCCTGAGCACCTTCTTGTCCTCCACATGCTTAGAGATGGCCTCCAGGATCAGCTGTTCCATCATCTTTCCAGGGACGGAGGTGAGGCTGACAGGCCTGGAGTTCCCTGGCTCCTCCTCCTTGCCCTTTTTGAAGCCTGGGCTGACACTTGCTTTCTTCCAGTCCTCAGGTACCTCTCCTGATCTCCGTGCCCTTTCAAAGATGATCGAGAGTGGCCTAGCAATGATGTCCGCCAGCTCCCTCAGCACTCGTGGGTGCATCTCATCAGGGCCCGTGGACTTGCGGGTGTCAACTTTGCCTAAATAATCTCTAACTTGATCCTCCTTGACCAAGGGAAAGCCTTCCTTTCTCCAAACTTTCTCCCTGGTCTCCTGGGTCAGGGATTCTTGAGGACTGGCCTTGGCAGTGAAGACTGAAGCAAAGGAGACATCTGGTATCTCTGCTTTCTCTGTGTCCTCTATCACCAGGGTCCCTGCCCCATTCAGTAGCAGGCCCACATTTTCCCTAGTCTTCCTTTTGTTACTGATGCGTTTAAAGAAGTCTGATCTATTTAAAGAAGCCACTTGTTTCTCTCATACTCAAAAGACAACTTGAGACCCTCTGGTGATATGTCACTGACACTACATAGATTAGCATGGAACACTACTCTTATTTTACTTACCTGTACCTGCATTCACATCACGGGTACACTCAAATCCAAACAGTCAAAGACTTTTCTCTTGGCTCCAGATCTGCTCTATCTGCCTGTAACGTACATGCTCAAAGAAAGGGCGTGTGATTCCTCTCCGTCATTCTTCAAGTGCTAGCTGAACCATAGCAACACCACTGTCTCTCAGTGCCAGCCTTCCTCACTGTTGGTTTCTGTGACTCTTCCACTTTCACGTCTGGCTTCTGCTATAGTTACAGGCCTGTGTCTTTTTGCCTGCAGTCATACTCCCTCCATACAATGCTCTTGTCAGTAGCTGTCCCAAAAGCATGACACCTATTCAGCATTCTTCGCCTTTCATTGTAAGAGTGATCTCACCAACTGCCATCCTCGAGGTAGCTGCTGTATATTTTTCCCTGTTTCCACCTGACAACTTTCTCTAACCTGTTAATGCAAGAATTTCACCATAATTTTAAGATATTGTGGCTGTCAGTCCTTCTCATGAGCTGTGGGTGTAATGATTTTCTACCTTACCACCACCACAGTGGTGTTAAGGCACTTCTCTTGGCATTGGAGCAGAAAAACTTTCCTTCCAAGGCAAATCTTCATTCAGGTTACCATCTTAATTTAATGCCTGTACCAACAACATCCTTTACTTCACTGTATGTTCTTACACTACTTCATGTTAATTTACAGTGTTTTTATCTGTCTGCCTTCCTAATAGAGTGCAGTTCACTGTGCTTATACTTGACTCCCTGGATTCTCACAAGCAGCCACATGGAAGGCACCAGAATCACACTGGTCACTGACCACAGGACCAAGCTCCTCACCACCGCATTCCCGGGTGTCAAGGTGAGCCATTTATTTGTTAGGACACCAGAAAACTGCCAGTGCCAGTGCAATCACACTCTGAACCCAGTCTCTGTCCGTTTTCGTCATTTATTCACAGGACGACTCTGGTATTTTTACACACCTTGGCGGTGCGTAAAATTGCCAGGCACCAAGAGGGCAGGACACACAGTGTCCTTCTGGTGACTGCACGGGGGCCATGCGGATTCAGGCAGCATCTGAGCCCACCTTCTGCTCCGCACCCTTCCTATCTGCTGCCCTCCTACCAGACTATCCAGCAACCAGTGCCTGGCTATGAGAGCATCTAGTGCGAGTATATCTATACATACATACACATATATAAATATATATATATACACTATATATAAACAACACATCTCAAAGAAGGTTACATAACTCTTTGGAGAGGTAACTGGTAAAAACTGTCCAGATTCGAAGACACCCCATTCTCATGTTTTAAGATACTCCAAAATTAATGTCCATTAAAAAAAAAAAAAGTTTTATGGGGGGCAGAAAAACAGGGTTTGCATCCTTTCAAGAGCAGCATTAAAAAGGAGTCGCTTTTGCTGTGGTTTCCTAACTTTCCTAACTTCAACACACATCTATGGGGAAAAAGGGAATAATTTTGAAGATAAGAAGATTCTTCACCTTTTTGAGCTTAAAGGAAGACCTAAGACTGAAAAGCATCCTATTTTGAATCTTGTGAACTTTCACTAAACACAGGAAGTTGGTGTCCCCAGCTGTTCCTGCACACCACTTGTACAACCATCCAAGGACTGCTTTTGTAGGAAAAAATAAAACAGCTTGACAACAGAATAGAAATTAAAACAAACTTCAGTGAACTTTTAGAAACTAAGAAAACAAATGACAAAAAGGTCAACAAAAAAGAACATGCCAAAAGTCTATTTCGAATAATGTATTATTTTTATTTTAGTAATGCAAGCACGTTCTAGCTAATTTCCAATTGTCTGAAGACACAGTCTCTGACCTG